TTGAGGGTTTGGGTTTAGGGTTTAGAATCTTACACCATGGCACATCGCACCTGCTGCCGCGCTGGAACTAGCGAAGCAGAGGTCTCCGCTTAGTGTGCCAGGTGTGGGAGGAGGAAACATGTCGCGGTGGGCGTCACCACCAAGCACAGGTGGAGAACATGCCGTGCCAACCTCTGGAAGAACCTTTATATGGAGTTCATTGCTTAGGGTTTTGCGCGACGGCCATTCCGAAAACTTACTTCCGCGAAAGCATCGTTGTGAAGATCTTGTATAGCAACCCAGGCCCTAATCAAACACCCTAAACTCCTCAACCCGGAAGCCTCAAGACGATACCCCGATCGAGGCTGAAACCTAAAACCTCTACTCCCCGACATCCTATACCCCAAACCCTAAACCNNCCCTACACCCTGAAACCCCTAAACCCTAAACCCTAAACCCTAAAGCCTAAACCCTAAAGCCTAAAGCCTAAACTGTGCTGAGGCCGTGGCGGTCCAGGCTGCCGTGCCCGCCCCAGAGCCTAATCTCCTGAGAGCCTCCAGCAAGGAAGCTGTAGGGGTTTAGGGTTTAGGGTTTAGGGTTTAGGGCTTAGGGCTTCTTATTAATGCTTAGGATTTAGGGTTTGGGGAAGATTTATAGGATTTAGGCTTCTGCTTAGGGTCTTGAGTCTGGGGCTTAGGGTTTAGATTTACCTTAGGGTTTAGGGTTTATGGAAGATTTATAGGGTTTAGGGGTTAAGGGTTTGGGGAAGATTTATAGGGCTTAGTAGGGTTTAGGGTTTAGGGAGGGTTTATAGGCTTTGGGCGTTCAGGGTTGAGGGAAGATTTATCGGGCTAAGGGGTTTAGGGTTCAGGGAAGATTTATAGGGTTTAGGGTGTAGGGTTTAGGGTGATCTATGGGCTTTAGTTCAGGGCTTGGGTTCTAGATAAACGGCTCAGGGCTTTGGGTTTAGGCTTGTAGGGCTTCATGGCGAAGCAAGCCCCATGAATTAGAGTCTACCCATGGGCCCCTTAGTAGTTCCTTTTTGGGATCACCTAATAGGATCCTAAATAGAAGCCACAAAAAGGAACTACTATGGGGCCTATGGGTAGATGTTTATTGCAGGCCGGAAATCTCAAGCCTTGGGCCCTCAAGCCCATCCAGCATCAAGGGCCTGATGAGGTAACCCTTAACCCTAAACCCTAAACCCAAACCTTTATAAGTCCAAACCCTCAAAACCGGTTTAGGGTCGTAGGGTCTAGTAGAACTTTGAGACTTGGGTGCTCTCAAGCGCTAGGGCTCCAGATACGTTGGGTTTAGGTTTTAGGGTTTAGGCTTTAAGGGTTTAGGGTTTAGGGTTTAGGGTTTAAGGGTTTAGGGTTTAGGGTTTGGGCTTTAGGATTGAAGGTTTAGGGGCTTCAATAGCAGGTTACAGACCATATACGGTACTTTAAGTAACCGGAGGTTGAGGGAAGCATTCGGGTTTCCAGCCAAACCGATGAACGATCTTGGGATGGTTGGGCCTTCAGGGACTCGGCCGTACATATCGATGTAGGGCTTAGGGTTTAGGGTTTAGGGTCCTCATTTTGACATTTGGGTTCTTTACATGAGTAATACAACTTTGGGGTTATAGGGCATGTGTCCGGGAGTGTCGGGGCGAATCAAGCATCTTACACATAGCTGGCCTTGGGCGTGCTGTGGTTGATGGAAAAGTCGCAAGCCGCCGGGCGAGTCTAGTTCCGGAGCGCCCAGCATCCTAAACCCTAAGACCCCAAAACCCTGAAGACCCTAAGACCCCAACACCTAAGACCCTAAGACCCTAAGACCCTAAGACCCCAAGACCCTAAGACCCGAAGACCCTAAGACCCTAAGACCCCAACCCCTAAGACCCTAAGACCCCAACCCCTAAAACCCTAAGACCCTAAAATCCTAAGACCCCAACCCCAAAGACCCAAAGACCCCTAAGACCCCTAAACCCTAAGATCCTCAAACCCCAAGACCCTAAGACCCCTAAGACCCTAAAACCCTGAAGACCCTAAGACCCCAACCCCAAAGACCCTAAGACCCTAAGACCCCAAGACTCAAGACCCTAAGACCCTAAGACCCCAACCCCTAAGACCCTAAGACCCCAACCCCTAAAACCCTAAGACCCTAAAATCCTAAGACCCCAACCCTCAAGACCCAAAGACCCAAAGACCCCTAAGACCCCTAAACCCTAAGATCCTCAAACCCCAAGACCCTAAGACCCCTAAGACCCCTAAGACCCTGAAACCCTAAGACTCTAAGACCCCAACCCCAAAGACCCTAAGACCCTAAGACCCAAACGCCCCAACAGCCACCCCCCCCCATTGGAGCTTCAGGATGGCCCGCAGAATTAAAGGAAACTACAGGTGGGGAGTTTAGGGTTTAGGGTTTAGGGTTTAGGGTTTAGGGCTTCTATAATTTACAAGGCTTCTATAAGGTATATAGACCTTCTATGAGGCTCCTATAACAGTAACTACCCACCTGAAAATGTCCTAGGCAGAAGCTGCAAGCGCCAGTCTTCTCCCGGGGGTTGGGCAGAAGCGGGCCTTAGGCCCTAGGGTTTGGGGTTGAGGGTTTAGGGCTTAGGGTTTAGGGTTGAGGGTTTAGGGTTGAGGGTTTAGGGTTGAGGGTTTGGGGTTGAGGGTTTGAGGGTTTGAGGGTTTAGGGTTGAGGGTTTAGGGTTTAGCTATAGTCTCCAGTGTAGTTCCTTTTATCGGTTTGACAAAATATATGTTAAGGATCCTGGTAAGGAAACCCCCCAAAAAGGAACCACAATGGAGACTATAGGCAGGCCAGACACCCTAAACCCTAAACCCCCAAGAACCCCAGTCCCGAAACCCCAAGAACCCTGAACTGACCTTGCTTCAAGCCCGGCATGGGAACTACGGACTTTTGGGTTTTTTAGAGTTAGGGTTTAGAATTTGGGGATTGGGGTTAGGGTTTTTGTTTTTAGCGGATTACAAGTTACAAGTGCTCTTGAGGACTTTATCAGAGTTTTCGAGCTCGGGCCTAAAGCATAAGACCTAAACCATCTCCTAGATCAAATTCCGGTCCTCGACACGAAAAATGCGAAGCAAGGCCCGAGAAACCTCGGCATCCGCGTTGTTGGCGAAGCGGGCCAGCTCCGTGACAAAGGACCGGGATGGACGACCTTGCGCAACACAAGGCTCTAACGACTAATTGCAGGCCACGTTTTGGGTAAACTTACAATATAAGGAACACCAAGGAATACGTATACGTAATTGTCTCGGCTTATATATATATATATGTATATATATATATATATATATACACATATATATATATATATACATCCCAGAGGGTCCGAGTACCCAAATAGTAAGGTTTTAGGTCCCAAAATCCATACTCTGAATGGTTTTTGGACCCTGAAACCCTACTATTTGGGTACTTGGACCCTTAGGGATATATATATATATATATATACATATATATATATATGCATATATATATATATAGTATGAGTATGTACGTATATTATATAATTATATATATATATATATAGAGAGAGAGAGATTCTTATACAACAAACCGTTGATGTCATGTGGGGTCGGATTTATTGTAAGTTTAGGGGTTGGGATGATTAGGCTTCGGTTTTGCTAAGGATTCAGCTGTCCAATATGAACTCCGCTAAATCCCGACCCACAATGCTGCCCAAGTCCACGTACCTGAATATTGGGTACTTGAATCCCTGGGGTCAGGTGGATGGGCGGTGGGTTCGGGAGGGCTTTGGCAAGGCCTTAGAAACTGACATTTATGGTTGGAATATAGAGGATAACAAAAACTGTTGCAAACCAGAATCATACTTGCACTCTATATAATGTAGTCCAGCCACCCTCTCTTGAGAGAGGCCCTCAAAATCGGGATCCCTAGCTTAATCCCTTTTGACGTGAGCGGTTTATGAAGCGGGGCTCTACCGGCGAAATTCGAGCTTCGGATCCCGATCCAACGCGCCATATGGGTAGTTTTCAACATTGTCTCTTTACTTAGGGTCCTTTTCATAAGGGTGCCGTACGTTTTGGGGGACCTAAAAAGGGACCCTAATTTAGAGAACTACCCATATCGGGGTGGCCAAGCGGCTGAAACCGGGGGTATGCGAAGCCTCCCAGAGTCTCCCGGCGCCAGCTTCCAAGCCCGAGGCCGTAAACTGTACCCATAGGCCCCATCGTAGTTCCTTTTTGGGGATTACCTTTTTGGATTCGATACATATGAGCCCCCCAAAAGGAGCTACTATGGGGCCTGCGGGTGAACCCCAATCCAAACATGAAGTTCTGAAACAAGGTCAGGCTGACTGACCCTAAACCCTAAACCCTAAACCCTAAACCCTAAGCCCTAAACCCTAGTCAGGCTACTAGGAAAGCCCCCCCCATGTGGAAAACATCCAGACTGCACGTGCTCGGGCCGCCGCCAAAGAGGTCGATCATGTTCCTTTGGGTTTAAGGTTTAGGGTTTAGGGTTTAGGGTTTAGGGTTTAGGGTTTAGGGTTCTTGCCAGGGATTCTTTGGGTCGATCTGTGGGGCTTTGGGGCTTTTTGGGCGCTTGAGCGACGCTACTCCATTCACGCCATTACTCTGTTCGGTTCTTAGTTCGGCCCCTAAACCCTAAACCCTAAACCCTAAACCCCAAAAGCTACTAGTTAGACGTCCCTGTATGGAACAGAACCCCCAAGCCCCAAAGTGCCAGGAAGAATCAGCGGGTAGTGGCTCGGGTTGCAGGGTTTAGGGTTTAGGGTTTAGGGTTTAGGGTTTAGGGTACGAAGCGCCAAGTCTCGTCAGAACCTGGCGAATGGTCACGCGCTGGTCAAAGCAGCGACGGTGACGCTCCGATACATCCCCGATGCACTTCACGCTGATAACCTGCCGCGCAGTTGCGAAATTGAGCTTTGCGGCTTTTCGGTTGAGGCTCGGTTTAGAGTCTTATAGGATTTAGGGTAGCAAATGGTAGTTTTGTGCTGTTGATATAGTAAATTTGACGGATCGGTTCAGGGCGCGGTTCGGGGCTGTCGGTCCATGGCACGACTTTGAATGTAGCTGCGCGGTCTGATCCGGGCTCGGTGCGTCGACGACACAGCTCCTTCGGGCGTAGCGTTTCCACCGTGCGCCCTAAACCCTGAACCCTAAACCCTGAACCCTATAACCCTCAACCCTGAACCCTAAACCCTAAACTCCTTCGGGTTTCGCGTTTCAAACAGAAAAATCTGACATCTGCACCCCCTCCACATCGTGGAGCGCCCAATCCCCCCGAAGCTGGAGCCTTCCCCAAAGGGAAGTATGAAGCGGGATCCGATCTATGTAAGGTAGCAAGACTTATGAATGTTAATGTGTACCCCAACCCCAACTAATGTACACATTCGTGGAGGGAACTTGTACCTGGTAATCCTCATCAGCCCTAACCTAACCAAAATCTGGATGCCTTGTCGCCGTCCAAATCCAGGAACTTGAGCGCTTCCTGGTTGTTCAGCTCGGTGTTCAGGGTTTCAGCGGCTGGGGCTTTCGATTTAGGGGTGTCGAGGTAGTACGCGTTTAAGGCTTATGGGGAGTTTGGGGTTGAGCTTGGGGATTTGTACGCTAAGCCCCAAAAGGCCCTAAGCTACACCAGACAACTCTAGCTAGATCCTTCAATAACTACCCAATCTACCCTACAATACCCACCATTGAGGACCATCAGGGCTCTATGCAAGGGTAATGTAGGGGCCTAAATAATTGTTCGAATTATTAAGGCCCCTATTTTCCTTTGGGGGGCCCCGATATGTTTGCCATGTCTTCAGCCTTAGCAAACTTTCGAGGCTTCGGCTACAAGAGTACTAAGTGCCAACGACGCCGTGGAAGGTTGTCTTCCGAGCTGACTCGGTTCAGGGGCTTTTGGGGTGTAGGAGTTTAGGAATTTAGGGTTTAGGGTTTATAAATAGGGTTTAGGGTTTAGGAGTTTAGAATTAGGGTTTAGGAGTTTACGGTTTATAGGGTTTATAAATTTTGTTCAGGGTTTAGGGAAGTTTAGGGTTCCGTGGATTTCCCTATCCTGATCCATGAAGGGGCCTGATAGTCTATTGATTACTTTGCAAGGTTTCCATACGGGTCCCCCAAACTAAACGCAAACAAAACCGCGCAGCTCTCCCTCTGGAATTGAGGCGTATCATGGGGAGTCCTCTCAAACCATCCCTGTATCGACATTCTACCTAGACCCATCCTTCCACTCTTTATGGGACCTTAAATACCCATCATTAGGGGCCATATATCCCGATTTGAAAACACAAGGAGGGTGTTAGACCCTAGACCCTAAACCCCTAAAACTTGGGGTCTAAGGGGTTGGGGCCTCAACTCTCCTGGGGACTATTCTGGTTTGGGCAAATGCCTCGCGGAAAAGTGCGTAGATCCCAACGACCGCGCTAAGGAAGCCAAGCCTAAGCAGAATCCCCGGAAAGCCCACAATGGAAATGCAGCCCAGCTGCATCCACGTCCTGCGAAGGAGCTACAGCTCTGCAGCACAGATTTCCCCCAGTCAGGATTTAAGATTTGGGGTTCAGGACTATTCTGATACCCCGGGCCACTCTACGGCATAATATATCAAACCAGTCACTACATGCGCTGCAGTTGCTCCGAGATGAGCGTTTCTTTTTTTTTGGGAGGGGGGGCAAGGGGGGCGGGGGGCCTTGTAGGGTTCAACACTGCTGGGCTGAGGCTCTATTGCAAGGACAACTTGCTAATTACAGCTTGTAGGGAACAGTCCGTAGCTAACGTCAAGAGTGCGAACTCTAGGGCTCATAGGCCGCAGCCCTCAAGGGATCAGACCTGGAGTGCAATGGTTTAGGGCTAAGGGTCAGGGTACATAAGTAGGGTTTAGGGTTTAGGAGTTTAGGGTTTAGGGTTTAGGGCTAAGAGTTGAAGGGTTTAGGAGAGCTCATAACCAAAACCGTACGTTGTTGTTGCAAGACCAGGATTCTTGGGAGTAGGATTATCGGTTGCCAGGTTTTGTGTTTGTAGGGACGGTTTTTGGAGCCCTGCCCCCGTAAGTTTCCAATTATGACCTGTTGAAGGAAGCGTGGTGTTGCTATCGTTCATATTCTGTTAGTTCCCATGACATATGCCACAGGTGCTTCGTGTATAAATGCTATGAGCTTTCTCGGTCGCTGGATTTGTGAGTACTAGCGGGGCACCGTCCTTGAGGCACATACCACTGGTACTGACTACAATAACAAACAAAACCATATGAACATCGATTGTCGCTATTTCAGGATTAGTAAGCGATAGCGTAGCAACAAACTCGATGGGGGACTGGTGGGATCAGCCATTGTCGCTGTCAGTCGTCGTCACAGTGCATGTTGATGGTGATGTCCATGGTAGTGGAGGTCACACGGATTCTGCGGAGATGATAGTGAACAACTTCGTCGGAATTGGGTATAAGTTTAAAGATAGTTCTGAAAATTCTGACTAGCTGTTCATTCTCTCTCTGCAGTAAGTTTTGGCTGCTCCCCGGGAGCCCTTCAGCACTTGCTTTCAAGGGTTTTCGGGCTTCAGAGTTGCTTTAGTTTTAGGGTTCGGGGTTTATAACGGCTTGGGGGATGAGGGATTTAGGGTCTAGGGTTTGGGGGTGGCAAAGTGTCTAGGGGCTCAACCCATTGAGATCCTACGCCCGATCTATGGCTTTTTCCGGCTCTTGTCTGATCAACCACCCCGCCCAAAAAACAAAACAACAAAAATGAAACTACATGTGTACTTCTCACAATTTGGGGTCCCTTCAGGGGGTCATCTTTATAAGTGTGCCGTACTATATTGGGGACCTAGTGCGGGACCCTAATTTAGAGAACAAGGCACATCGTGGAGCAGGTAAGCCCTGATCCAGTTGCTCTAAGCATTCGTTCCGCCAGTTCGCTCTTTTTAGGGTTTAGGGTTTAGGGCTTAGGGTTCGGGTTTAGGGTTTAGGTCACAACGGTAGCTCATGTTCAAGTCGAACATACGGTAACTCGTGCGGCAAGGTTGGTAGGAGTTTATATATCGAAAGGGTAACTGTAGCACTTGGTTGATGCTGTTTTGCACTTGTTGTGCTCTGAGCTCCCCCCCCTCGAGGTCACCACCTACTCACACAAATCACTGACGATGGAACCGTCCTGGGGCAAGTTCTCCGGGTAAAGAGCGACGGCATCGCCGAGGTCAAACGGAAAGTCAACGCCCTGAAAGTAGAGTTCAGAACGGGCCTAAACCGCAAAAAAATGCGTCAGAACTTCCAGTCGCAAGTTTCCCTTATGAGTGTCTTGAAGCCTAAACTCTACACCATATAACGTCGGAAACCCTGAACTGTGGGGTGGTTTCAGTTCCTTGGGATAAACCCTAAACCCAAAGCCCTAAACCCTAACCCCTAATGTACGGGCTTTTATCAATTAGAGTAGGGTTTGGGGGTAGGTTATACTAGAAGGCTTTGGGGTAGATTAGACTAGAAATTAGACTAAGGAGCCCCCACAATAGTATAGGTAATTCGCAAGGCCTCTAAATAAAAAGCCCTAGACCCTGAACCCTAAAACCTGAGCTCAGTCCTTCTCCAAAAAACCCAAGCCCACTATACCTGATACGGAGACCCTAAGCCCTGAACCCCAAACTAACCCGAAACCCTAGACCCTGAACAAGCCCTAAACCGTAAACTGACCCTAAACCCTAAACTAACTCTAAACCCTAAACCCAGATCTTGGAGCCTGGACCGTGAACTCTCGTCAAGAGGCTTTCAGGACTTCAAGGACCACCCCTATGCTCCAAGCGACAAGCCGCCATAGAGTAGACTCTAAATTTGGGTAGTTCTCCAAATTAGGGTCCCTTTCAGAGTCTTGTTATATGGGTGCCGTACTGTAATGGGGACCTGAAAAGGGACCCCTGATGTAGAGAACTACCCGTTTAATGGCAAGCAAGGACCCCTGACAAAAGAGAGCCCGAGCTTTCTGAAATCCCGCTTTCATTATCGGAAACTTCCCTTTAGTTTAACTAACCAGCCATTCACCACCAAAACGACCGCGACGACCAAAACCGCAAGAAAGACCACCCAGGTGATCACACAGAGACCACTAGGATACCATCAGGAAACCCATCCAAAGACCACCGGGAGATCGCGGAGACCACATGTTGCCCCCATTTGCCGGTAGGATTCAGAGGCTTGACAACCACGCTTTCCCAATGCGTACTGACAAAACTCTGTGAGACCTCACCATATGCCAACCAAGTCTCTTGACATGTAACTCAACAACTCGTAAGTAGTTTTCATATCATCTAGTACCACACGGTTTGGGGAAAAAAACCCAATGTTGGTACACATGACCCTTCCAACCTCTGAAGTGTTTTCTTGTGTGTAGTTCAGCCTTGTGGGCCTCCTTTTTGGGGTTCATACATAGAATCCTATAAAGCAATCCCCAAAAGGAGCTACTATGGGGCCTATGGGTACTTTTGTAGGGTGAACATTTATGCAGGCTGGTGATCTCTTTGTCTGTTCCTAATACGACCCCATATACAGCCCCTTAAACTAGAAAAGAGACCACCGACCTATATAAGTTAGTACAAATGATATAAAAACCAACAGCTTGAAGACCCTTAACCCTAAACCCGCCTGGAGGCTCAAAGCAAGGTGGCGGATATCGCGCTCGTACTCGTTGGGGGTTAGGCCTTTTCGCCGTTCGTTCCAAGAGCTTCAGGTTTACTAAACTCTTTTTAGGTAGGGTTTAATGTTGAAAAGGGATTTGCTTATTGCATTCTGTCAATGAGGCTTTGCGTGTTCGCGATGTGGGGAATCAGGGGTTCATGCCGCTCAGGGTGTCGTCGGGGTGTTAGAACAGGAGATTTAGGGTTCTACTTGAGGGTTTAGGGTTTAGGGGTAGGGTCTGGGATCTCATCATCTCAAATGATGATGATGATGATCAACATCAACATCGTCGTCACCATCACCGCTCTGAACGCCAAACCACGACTCCATGATGAGCTCAACCTGGGAACCATAAAGCCGTAGCCGATGCCCAGCCAGAACCTCAAAGCAGGATCTGCGAGCCCGAGAAAGGATCTACGGTTTAGGGTTTAGGGTGAAGGGAGCTAAAACCGCACCCTCAACTAAACTTCCGGGATATCCTTGTAAAATTCTTATGCTCACGTCCGTTTGGGAGCCTAAACACATCCCCTAAACCCTAAACCCTTTAAACTATGATCCCTCACTCCGTAGTCCCCCTAAAGCCTAACCCCTAATCACCCGAACCCCTACACTTGATGTTCCAGGTCAGGCTTGAAGTTTGCCAAATCTGCCAACTCGGCTGCAGCCAGGGGACGTCGGTTCTCCGTCACCTTGATCAAGAGGGATTGCAGGGTTCAGGGCTTAGGGTTGAGTGCAGGCTTTAGGTTCTAAATCTCAGGGGTTTAGGGTTCAACCCTAAACAATAGGGATAAGGGTTCCCGCACCCTAAACCCTAAACGCCGGGGAGTTTGGGCATGAGGGCTTATAGGACTTAAGTGCTCAGCGTTTAAAGTAAGAGCTTGAGGGAGTTGAGCGGGATAAAGATGTCGACTTAGGGTTTATAGTTTTAGGTTTAGGGTTTAGGGCTTTGGGCTTAGAAGTTTAGGCTTTCGGGTCTAGAGCTTAAGGTTTAAGGACGTTGGCAGAGCTTGAGCCCTGAATCGTCAGAGTCTATCATCGGCAGTTCTTCGGGTTTGTGATCTGCGCTGCGCAGGAGGCTCCCGCCCGAGGATCCTGCGTTCTTCCCATAGGCCCCATAGTAGTTCCTTTTTTGGGCTCATATTTAGCATCCTATAAGGTAATCTCAAAAAGGAACTACTATGGGGCCTATGGGTTGTTATAGGGAACTTAGCAATGTAGCTCGTTAACATAATGAGGAGCTCTGGTTCATGGATTTTAAACCCCTACTACCATGGTGAAGTTGATAACTTAGGTTAAGTTCCTTAACAGGAGCCCCGGATGTGCGATGGGAATCTAGGATTTCGGGGGTTTCTCGGGTTTTAGGATTCAGGGCAAGGAGGGCCTGCGGGGTTTTAGGCCTCGGGGCCAAGGGCTTCGAGGCGTTTGAGGTTTAGGTGCTCCCTTGCATGCCCTTCGAACCGAAATAACCATGTTTTTGTGTAGAAAGTGTAGAAAGTCCCATCGAGGTGTATAATAATATTCCTAAAAGCACTAAAGCTTCAGGGTGGCGGTATCTTGGGAGTGAATGGCTGGGGTTAGGTGAGGGTGTGGGGACTGCAAACTGCAGACATCCCTTGTTTCAAACTGCATGACTCCGCCTGAAGACAAGGATGCAACCTAGGACCTAGGACCCACACGAAGAACACCATAAGCCAATTTAGGATTTAGGGTTTGGAGTTTAGGGTAAGCTGCTGGCTAAACGTAAGGGCTGAAGCATTAAACTAAGGCCCGCAAAAACTTTCAAAGTGTAACTGCTAGTCAGTCGTGTGGCCGTCAGCAGCTGTGCCCCAGGAGGGACCATAGGAGCTGTGACGGCAGCAGCCTGGGCTGATAGCTGGCTAAAGCCCAGGCGCCTTCTCCAACCGAAAACCGCAACACTAGCTGTGCCATCTTCTATACTCAGGGCCATTGTAAAGGATCCATGCCGGTCGCGATTAAAGATTACCGATGCTGGTGGCTTAAACGTTTGATGCCGCGCACTTTCTAGCCTCCCCAGTGGCAAGGTACCTTCCTTGTTCCTCCTGTTACGATTGCACGTCAAGAAGGAAATCCTAGATAAACGATGGCAAAGGGGTACTAACCCACCCTAAACCCTAGGAGCATGTGCTTTGAAAGACTGGTGCAGTTCTCGGATCTGGGAATCCCAGGATACTCTCAAGACAAGGAACGCACAACATGGAGGAATACATGTATACGCATATATCTATATATATATATATAATATATATATATATATATACACATACACACGCACTTGTTTGTACTTCTTTATCCACATGCTTATATCTGGGGCGGCGTTTCGGGCTTGGGGTTCAGCGACTGGGGCATAAAAGATATACAGCCATACGCACATACACACACACACACATAAACACATACATACAGACATGCAGACAGACAGACAGACAGACAGACAGACAGACAGACAGACAGACAGACAGATAGACAGACAGTAAAACAGACAGACAGAGACAGATATTTCTGTGTATGTATATAATATATATATATATATACACACACACACACACGTGGCTATATATATATATATATACACGTATATACGAGCTGTAGTGTGACTTCTTCTGTGCATATATATATATATAGACATACATACTCCTTTTATGTTATGTGTAGCTATTTATTTATACTTATCTATAAAAAAAAACGCTTGTTTATAAGTGTAGGCATACATATTTGTCTCAGTATTTGTTGATATAGAAAGGCTCTCAGAAAGGTACGTTGTGGAGGGGGGGTTGGAAGGAGACGTTTGTCCAGGAGTTGAGTTGTGTGGTTCAAGAATGATTGATATATCTATCCTTCCGCATCGCTATTTCCAAACAAGACCTGACAGTAAAACACAACCAAGGTCAGAATCCGATAGATGCATGTGGATTTAATGGTGCAGCTTGATTTAGGGATGCATCCCTCCAGACTGAAAGCCCCATGACTTTGTTTACTGAGCTCTTTTTTCGCAGCTGCCCCACCCTTGGAAGCTATGAGGATTTAGGGCTTCGTATTTTAAGGTTTAAGACAGGGGTGTTACACCGTTGTCTTGCAGACCCCTTAGGGCCCCGACTTGTCTGGCTGCTAGCTTCGGTATATATTGTTGAATCATTAAACCATTAAACCAACGTAGAAATGAGCACACAAAACCCTAACCCCCAGGTACCTAGTATATAGGGCCCTGGGGGCTCTAGTACCCCATGTAGTAGGTACCTGGGGGGTTAGGGAAACACCAGCACAAATTCTAGACTGCCTCACGCACCTGTACGCGCACCTCATATAATGCAGCTCTCAGACGCAAAAGCCACGAAGGCCGGCTGCACCCCAAGCTCCAAGACCTAAACCCTAAACTGTGAGTTAGGGTTTAGGGGTTTAGGGTTTAGGGTTTAGGGTTCTAAACCCCTAAAACCCCTAACTCTAAACCCTGAACCCCTAAACCCCTAAACCCCAAACCTCACCGAGCCCAAAGCAGTCTCGTGGTACTTCACCTCGAAGAGCGGAACCTTCGGCCTGGCAAAGCTACAAGGGGGGCCTTAAGAACTAGAATAGGGTTTAGGGTTTAGGGTTTAGGGTTTAGGGTTTAGGGTTTAGGGTTTAAGGGTTTAGGGTTCAGGGTTTAGGGCTCAGGGAACTAGAGTAGGGTTTGGGGGGCCCATTACGCTAAAATTATAATAAGGAGCCCCCAAAATAGTGTAGGTAATTCTTAGGGCCTCTAAAATTATCTCCTGGAAGGCCTAAACCCTAAACCCGAAACCCTAAACGTGTTCGTGTCCTGGTTCCAACAGTCGAACTGTTTGGGATGAAACACAGCAGCCTCGAGTTGGCTAGTTCAGGATTGGGGTGTGGGGTTTAGGGTTTAGGGTTTAGGGTTTAGGGTTTAGGGTTTAGGGTTTAGGGCTCAGGGAACTAGAGTAGGGTTTGGGGGGGCCCATTACGCTAAAATTATAATAAGGAACCCCCAAAATAGTGTAGGTAATTCTTAGGGCCTCGAAAATTATGTCCTGGAAGGCCTAAACCCTAAACCCTAAACCCTAAACCCGAAACCCTAAACGTGTTCGTGTCCTGGTTCCAACAGTCGAACTGTTTGGGATGAAACACAGCAGCCTCGAGTTGGCTAGTTCAGGATTGGGGCGTGGGGTTTAGGGTTTAGGGTTTAGGGTTTAGGGTTTTAGGGTTTAGGGTTTAGGGTTTAGGGTTTAGGGGTTTGGCTGGCTTAGTTTAGGGACAAGGCTAGTCAGGGTAAGTCTCCGGCAACCAAGAGGTGCCAAGATGGAAAATACCTCAAAAAATACAGAGTAGGGTTTGGGAGCATATTACAGTACAATGAGAAAAGGAACCCTACAGAGTAACATTGGCAAGCCTTCAGGCTTCCTATAAAGGGAATAGATAGGGACCATAGATTGCTGCAGCTCGTTGCAGCATACTGAAGATATCTAGGACTTAGAGGTACTGACATGCTGCTTTGCGAATTACTGTATAGCGAAACCCTAAACCCTAAACACTAAACTGTTATATTCTCGGCTTCTCTGCGTCCTGCTCGGGGATGTTGAAAGCCTTTGCCCCACCACCTCCTCCGCCCTGGCAGAGAGAGAATTTCGGATGGGTTTGGGGTTTAGGGTTTAGGATTTAAGGTTTGGGGTTTAGGGTTTCGGGTTTGGCGTTTAGGGCTTGGGGCTTAGGGTTTGGGGTTTAGGGTTTAGGGTTTGGGGTTTAGGGTTTAGTCCTTAGCAACAAGAATAGAGTTTTGGGCTATCCTCTAGAGCCCAAAGGAATGCTTTTATTCTAGTGTGATTCTCAGAATGAACTCTTAGCGATAAACTGCATAGAAACCATGCAGGCTTCCGAATTACATGTGCCACCGGGCTTGGGGCGGGGTGGCCGGGTCTTGGCATGCGGAGCCAGAGAGTTAGCGACCGAATAGGGGCCCAGTTAAATCATCACCCATACAATCTTAGGGTTCGTTAGGGCCCCGGTATTTCTCCACGCTTCACCAAGCCCTAAACCCTAAACCCTAAACCCTAAACCTTCAACTTTACTTTGAAGGCAGCATGGCAGTGCTCTTAGAAAGTAAGGGTATCTGTCATTGGCACGCAATCAGGGCCTCATGACCCCTAAACCCGAAACGCAGAGGAGAACGGAGATGCTGCCACCCAAGCAGCAAAGCATGCTTAGCCGCAAGTCACGCTCAGCTCTTCTCGTGCACTTCTGGCCACAAACACCCTACTTTCAGTCGGGCAAACAGGCCCTCACAAATCGGGTCTGAGGCCTTTAACCCTGAACCCTGGTCTCTTTTTTAACACCACAGCGCATTGCGGGGTCCCGGTGGCTTCTGCGCACTTTCCTCGCTCTTCCTGCCAACTTCGCCTGGCGTCATCTTCAATCTATCCAAAGACAAACCGAATCCCGACAGCAACGATCGGCGTCACTCTCAGAAAGTGTGTCTTGGACTCCTTTCACTCATGCTACTGTGCAAGTGCCAGTATCACTTGTCGTAGTTTCGATTGCTGCTGCTCCTTTTGCGCCTTGGTTTCGTTTACCTGTGGTACATTGACATCCTGGTTCTTCTGATGACGATGAAACGACGATGCCGGCCACGACTTGACAACATCAGCGAACAGGACGGGGACTGCTGCTACTGCTGATGTTATTCTCCTTTGAATAGGACCATTGCAGGCACCAGTGCCTGTACTAGGGTCTGCAAGTCCACTTTCGACGATGAGGAGAACGAAGAAGAGCATTGAAATTGAACATCACCGGCATCAACGTCATCATCGTCGTCATTATCATGCCCATCCTCCTCATCATCATCATCACCAACATCACCACCATCACCAACATCATCGCCATCACCATCATCATCGCCATCAGCATCAACAACATCAGCCAGAAGACCGCCAGAATCGCCATCACCATCGTTATCATAGTCAAAGAGGTGATCGCCATAATTGGGCACGAGCAGAATCACCATTACCGTCCACTCTTGTCCTAGTCCTAGTCATGGTCGTCATGGCCTTTCGTGGGCTTCGGCCCTGCGTCCTTCTTTCGAGACCTGAGGTTTCACAGGGTTTAGGGTTTAGGGTTTAGGATTTAGGCGGTTTAGGGTTTAGGGTTCAGGGTTTAGAGTTTAGGATTTAGGGTTTAGGGTTTAGGGTTTAGGATTCAGGGTTTAGGGTTGGTCTTCGTCTTCGCATTCACAACCTCGCGTGCAGTCAGAAGGCGCCCCGACCACGCCACGCAAGGCACCCTGAAGCAGCCGGCTTCCTCCGGGGTTGGCCTTGCTGTCCTGCTTAAAGGATCATGGGACTTAGTAAATAGGGTTATAATTAGGGTAACTGTGCTTATAACCCCAATTAAAGGACTTAGTAAGTCGGGTTATAATTAGGGTAACTATACTTATAACCCCAATTAAGGGACTTATAACCTTACTTACTAAGTCCCATGAACCTCCCAGTGTTGAGGATTCAAGGCAGGCCCTCTCGTTGCATAGGTCGGCTTTCCTTCCATTACAGAAGAAGAAGAATAACAATAATCCCAATATAAGTACTAATAATAATGGTAATAATCATATTAATAAATAACAATAAGAATGATAATTATTTGAATGATAATAATAATAATATTATAATAGTGATAGTAATAGTCAGAATATCCCCCCACACGCAAAGCCAAGACGTACCGTAAACCTAGCCCCAAGGGACCTCCGGACTCACAGGAGCCTGACCCTAAACCCTAAACCCTAAACCCTAAACCCTAAACCCTAAACCCTAAACCCCCGAATCGTCCCCGAAGACCCGAAGG